TACCAGAACCTAGAACCAGAAGGCAAGTAAGGGAATTCTTAGGAGCTGTGGGGTTTTACAGATTATGGATTCCAAACTTTGCAGTACTAGCCAAACCTTTGTGCGGGGTTACAAAGGCTGGCGACCAGGAGCCTTTTGAATGGGGGCCTCTACAACAGCAAGTCTTTTGTAAGTTAAAGGAAAAACTTATGTCGCCCTAGCTGACTACCAGATTTGACAAAGCCCTTTACACTCTATGTGTCAGAAAGAGAAAAAATAGCAGTTGGAGTTTCAACCTAGCCTGTGGGGCCCTGGCCAAGGCCAGTGGCCTATCTCTCAAAACAACTAGATGGAGTTTCCAAAGCCTGGCCCCCATGTCTAAGGGCCCTGGCAGCAATGGCCCTGTTAGCACAAGAAGCAGATAAACTAACCCTTGGGCAAAACCTGAATATAAAGGCCCCCCATGCTGTGGTAACTTTGATGAATGCCAAAGGACATCATTGGTTAACAAATGCTAGATTAACCAAGTACCAAAGCTTGCTATGTGAAAATCCCTACATAACTATTGAAGTCTATAACACCCTAAATCCCGCCACCCTGCTCCCAGTATCAGAGAGCCTGGCCAAGCATAACTGTGTAGAGGTGTTGGACTCAGTCTATCCTAGCAGACCTGACCTTCGAGACCAGCCATGGGCATCAGTAGACTGGGAGTGATACGTGGACTGCAGCAGCTTCATCAACCCACAAGGAGAAATATGTGCAGGATATGCGGTGGTAACTTTGGATGCTGTCATTGAAGCCAAACCGTTGCCACAGGGCACTTTAGCCCAGAAGCCTGAGCCCATTGCTTTAACTCGGGCTCTAGAACTCAGGGAAGGTAAGACTGTAAACATCTACACTGACTCTCGATATGCCTTTCTAATCCTCCAAGTGCATAGAGCATTATATAAAGAAAAGGGCCTGTTAAACTCTGGGGGAAAGGACATAAAATATCAACAAGAAATTCTACAATTATTAGAGGCAGTGTGGAAACCTCAGAAGGTGGGCAGTCATGCACTGCAGGGGACACCAGCGAGCCTCCATCTCAGTGGCCTTAGGAAACTCTCGAGCTGAATCAGAAGCTCGAAAAGCAGCATCTACCCCTTACCGGGCATCGGTAGCAGCTCCCTTACTCCCTCAAACACCTGACCTGGTACCTACCTATTCCAAGGAAGAAAAAGACTTCTTCCACGCAGTAGGAGGGCAAGTAATAAAAGGAGGATGGATCAGACTGCCAGAAGGGAGGGTAGCTGTGCCGCAGTTGCTGGTAGCCACAATCGTATTGGCCATGCACGAAACCACTCATCTAGGACAAGAGTCACTTGAAAAATTATTAGGCCGGTACTTCTACGTCTCGTACTTGCCAGCCCTTGACAAAGCAGTAGTACAACGGTGCGTTACTTGCCAACAACACAATGTGAGGCAAGGCCCCACTGTTCCGCCCGGCATACAAGCTTATGGAGCGGCTCCTTTTGAGGATCTTCAGGTGGATTTCACAGAAATGCCAAAATGTGGAGGTAACAAGTATTTGCTGGTTCTTGTGTGTACTTACTCTGGGTGGGTGGAGATTTATCCAACACAAACCGAAAAGGCCTACGAGGTAACCCATGTGCTTCTTCGAGATCTTATTCCTAGGTTTGGACTGCCTTTACGAATCGGCTCAGATAATGGGCTGGCATTTGTGGCTGACTTGGTACAGAAGTCAGCAAAGGCATTAGGAATCACTTGGAAGCTACATGCTGCCTACCGACCTCAGAGTTCCGGAAAGGTGGACTGAATGAATCAGACTGTCAAAAATAGTTTAGGGAAAGTATGTCAGGAAACAGGATTAAAGTGGATACAGGCCCTTCCTATGGGATTGTTTAAAATTAGATGCACTCCTTCTAAGAAAACAGGATACTCCCCTTATGAAATACTGTATCATAGGCCTCCTCCTATACTGCGGGAGCTTCCAGTCACTCCCTGAGAGTTAGGTGAAATTGAATTACAGCGACAGCTACAGGCTTTAGGAAAAATTACACAAACAATCTCAACTTGGGTAAATGAGAGGTGTCCCATCAGCTTATTCTCCCCAGTTCACCCTTTCTCTCCAGGTGATCGCATGTGGATCAAGGACTGGAACGTAGCCCCTTTGCGGCCATGGTGGAAAGGACCTCAGACCGTCATCCTGACCACCCCCATGGCTATAAAGGTAGAAGGAATCCCAGCCTGGATCCACCACATCCATGTGAAACCTGCAGCCGCTGAAACCTGGGAGGCAAAACCGAGCCCGGACAACCCCTGCAAAGTGACCCTGAGGAGGATGACAAGCCCCGCTCCATTCACACCCGGAAGCTGACTAGTCTATGCATGGCCGAAGCATGAGGAGAATCATCATGGAACTCATTTTCCTTATAATTTGGACTTGCATAGTAAAAACTTCCACTGATTTTCCCCGCATGGAGGACTGTTCCCAGTGTATACATCAAGTCACTGAGGTAGGACAAAAAGTTGCTCCAGTCCTATTATTTTATGGTTATTATAAGTGTACCAGAACTCTAAAAAGAACTTGTTTGTATAATGCTATTCTATGCAAGGTATGTAGCCCAGGAAATGACCAACCTGATGTGTGTTATGACCCATCTGAGCCTCCATGACCACAGGTTTTAAAATAAGATTAAGGACTGAGAACTGCTGGGGACTCATAAATGATACGAGTAAAGTTTCAGCCAAAGCAAAAGAAAAAGGGGTGCTCAAACAAGTCACCGTGAAGTTTGATGCCTGTGCTGTCATTAATAGCAATGTTAGGAATGGGATGTGGCTCTTTTTGTTGGGAAAAAGGCTATATGGCTGAAAATGAGTACATTTGTCATAAATTAAGACTGTGTGAAAATGAATATAGATACTGGTTTTGTGTTATTTAGACCACTTGGATAAAAAATGAAAAGGATCCAGTCCACCTTCAGAAAGGAAAAAACGGCCCTGCCTCAGCCTCCCGAGTAGCCGGGATTACAAGAGCCTGCCACCACACATGGCTAATTTTTTTGTATTTTTAGTAGAGATGGGGTTTCACCATGTTGGCCAGGCTGGTCTCAAACTCCTGACCTCAGGTGATCCACCCACCTTGGCCTCCCAAAGTGCTGAGATTACAGGCGTGAGCCAATGCGCCTGGCCTAATTTTTGTATTTTTTTGTTGTTGTTGTTTTGTTTTTGAGACAGAGCCTCGCTGTGTCCCCCAGGCTGCAGTGCAGTGGCGCGATCTCGGCTCACTGCAAGCTCTGCCTCCAGGGCTCACGCCATTCTCCTGCCTCAACCTCCCGAGTAGCTGGCATTACAGGCGCCCACCACCAAGCTCGGCTCATTTTTTGTATTTTTAGTAGAGATGGGGTTTCACCGTGTTTGCCAGGATGGTCTCGATTTCCTGACCTCGTGATCCGCCCGCCTCGGCCTCCCAAAATGCTGGGATTACAGGCGTGAGCCACCGCGCCCAGCCATTTTTGTATTTTTAATGGAGACAGGGTTTCACCATGTTGACCAGGCTGGTCTCACACTTCTGACCTCAGGTGATCCGCCTGCCTCAGCCTGCCAAAGTGTTGGGATTACAGGCGTGAGCCACTGCGCCTGGCTTCCTTTTTAATTTTGTAGGCAAAACTTTCCAAAATAAGTTCTTATGAAGTTTCCACTAAAGAAAGAAAACAGTTACTAAATTCTCTGGTTTCTAAACAGCTAATAGAAAGGAGCCTTAGGGCAAAATTCTTACTTTCCTTCTTTCTTATTTCACCATGCAAGCTGGTGCTGAGGGCAAAATTTTTATTTATTTATTTATTTATAAATACTTTAAGTTCTGGGGTACATGTGCAGAACATGCAGGTTTGTTACATAGGTATACACATGCCCTGGTGGTTTGCTGCACGCATCAACATTAGTTATTTCTCCTAATGCTATCCCTCCCCAAAATTCTTTTTTTTTTTTTTTTTTTTTTTTGAGACAAGGTCTCTCTGTGTTGCCCAGGCTGGAGTGCAGTGGCACGATTTTGTATTTTTTGTAGAGACAGCAACTCATGATGTTGCCCATGCTGGTCTCAAACTCTTGGCCTCAAGTGCTGAGATTACAGGTGTGAGCCACCTCACCTGGTCACAATATTCTTTCACACACACATACACACATACACATGCACGCACACACACACCAATAAACACAACAGGAAAACTGCTTAGTTGGAAACAAATATTGATAATGGAAATTCCAAGAGATGTCCTTTCAAGGGGGTGTGTGTGTGTGCATGTGTGTGTGTGTGTCTGTGCATTCTTGGTGTGTGTAGCCTGGCCAGAATCATCTTGGCGACCCACCCACCAGACTTTGAAGACTTAGTATGAAAAAAAAAAGAAAAAAAGGCCGGGCGCGGTGGCTCAAGCCTGTAATCCCAGCACTTTGGGAGGCCGAGATGGGCGGATCACGAGGTCAGGAGATTGAGACCATCCTGGCTAACACGGTGAAACCCCGTCTCTACTAAAAAATACAAAAAACTAGCCGGGTGAGGTGGCGGGCGCCTGTAGTCCCAGCTACTCGGGAGGCTGAGGCAGGAGAATGGCGTGAACCCGGGAGGCGGAGCTTGCAGTGAGCCGAGATCGCGCCACTGCACTCCAGCCTGGGTGACAGAGCCAGACTCCGTCTCAAAAAAAAAAAAAAAAAAAAAAAAAAAAAAAAGGCTGGGCATGGTGGCTCACACCTGTAATCCCAGTACTCTGGGAGGCTGAGGCAGGTGGATTGCTTGAGTCCAGGAGCTCCAGACCAGCCTGGGCAGCATAGCAAAACCTTGTCTCTACAAAAAATACAAAAAATTAGCCAGGCATGGTGATGTGCACCTGTAATCCCAGCTTCTTGGGAGGCTGAGGTGGGAGGATTGTTTGAGCCCAGGAGTTCAAGGCTGCAGTGAGCCATGATCCCCACCACTGTACTCCAGCCTGGGTGACAGAGTGAGAACCTGTCTCAAAAAAAAAAAAAATGACTCCAGAAAAGTGACCTCTAAGGGGACAGGGCTCTTGAAGGCCTTTGTGGGCCAGAAGAGTTCCTTCCTGGTGGACTGCAGCAAAGCGAGCTTCAACATGCTGCTGCTCCGGGTCCATGGGCCCACCATCCCCTACGAGGAGGTCTCCATGAAGCATGTAGGCAACCAGCAATACAACGTCACATACATCGTCAAGGAGAGGGGCGATTACGTGCTGGCTGTGAAGTGGGGGGAGGAACACATCCCTGGCAGCCCTTTTCATGTCACAGTGCCTTAAAACAGTTTTCTCAAAACAAACAAACAAACAAACAAAACGTAGCTCCTAGAAAATTTAAAATTACGGCCGGGCGCAGTGGGGCTCACACCTGTAATCCCAGCACTTTGGGAGGCTGAGGCGGGCGGATCACTAGGTCAGCAGTTCGAAACCAGCCTGGCCAACATCGTGAAATCCCATCTTTACTAAAAATACAAAATTAGCCGGGCATGGTGGCACAGGCCTGTAGTCCTACCTACTCGGGAAACTGAGGTAGAAGAATCGCTTGAACCTGGGAGGCAGAGGTTGCAGTGAACCAAGATCATGCTACTGCACTCTGACCTGGGCGACAGAGCAAGACTTCGTCTCAAAAAAAAAAAAAAAAATTTAAAATTACATAAGTAGATCATGCTGCTCAAAATAGTTCCCTTGAGGCATCCATTTAAAACAAATTAGGCCGGGCGAGGTGGCTCATGCCTGTAATCCCAGCACTTTGGGAGGCCGAGGTGGGCGGATCACCTGAGGTCAGGAATTCCAGATCAGCCTGACCAACTTGATGAAACTCTGTCTCTACTAAAAACACAAAAATTAGCCGGATGTGGTGGCATGTGCCTGTAATCCCAGCTACTCGGGAGGCTGAGACAGGAGAGTCACTTGAACCCAGGAGGCAGAGGTTGCAGTGACCCAGGACTGCACCATTGCACTCTAGCCTGAGCAACAAGAGTGAAACTCCATCTTAAAAAAACAAAAAAAAACCCCAAAATTTAAAAAATATGTGTACGCTGGGTGCGGTGGCTCACGCCTGTAATCCCAGCACTTTGGGAGGTCGAGACGGACAGATTGCCTGAACTTGAGAGTTCGAAACCAGCCTGGGCAACATGGCGAAACCTCATCTCTACTAAAAATACAAAAAATTAGCTGGGTGTGAGTGGGTACCTGTAATCCCAGCTACTCGGGAGGCTGAGGCAGGAGAATCGCTTGAACCGGGAGGTGGAGGTTGCAGTGAGCCGAGATCACGTCATTGCTCTCCAGCCTGGCGACAGAGTAAGACTCTGTCTAAAAAAAAAATAAGGCCAGGCTCGGTGGCTCACGCCTGTAATCCCAGCACTTAGGGAGGCCAAGGCGGGCGGATCATGAGGTCAGGGGATTGAGACCATCCTGGCTAACACGGTGAAACCCCGTCTCTACTAAAAATACAAAAAATTAGCTGGGTGTGGTGGCGGGCGCCTGTAGTCCCAGCGATTCGGGAGGCTGAGGCAGGAGAATGGCGTGAACCAGGGAGGCGGAGCTTGCAGTGAGCCGAGATCGCGCCACTGCACTCCAGCCTGGGCAACAGAGAGACTCCGTCTCGAAAAATAATAAAATAAAATAAAAAATAAATATGTGTAATTTTTTTTTTTTTTTTGAGACTGAGTCTCACTCTGTCACCCAGGCTAGAGTGCAGTGGCATGATCTCGGCTCACTGCAACCTCCACCTCCCGTGTTCAAGTGATCTCCTGCCTCAGCCTCTTGAGTAGCTGGGATTACAGGCACCCACCACCACACCTGGCTAATTTTTGTATTTTTAGTAGAGACGGGTTTCACCATGTTGGTCAGGCTAGTCTTGAACTCCTGACCTCGTGATCTGCCTGCCTCGGCCTCCCAAAGTGCTGGGATTACAGGTGTGAGCCACCATGCCTGGCCAAATGTATGCAATTTTTGTTTTAGCTGTCCCACAGAGAAAGTCAGAACTCTTCTCAGTAGTTTTATATGTCTCTTCCTGGAAATATTTGCAAATTAATCTCAAAAAAAGTATACATACATATTTGGCATGTTAGGGTTTAAATCTCCTTGCAGGGTCAAACATAAACAAGTTTCTTTCTTTTTTTTTTTCTTTGAAACGCAGTCTCTGTCTCCCAGGCTGAAGTGTGGTGGCGTAATCACGACTCACTGCAGCCTTGAACTCCTGGGCTCAAATCATCCTGCCTCTTCAGCCTCCCCAGTAGCTGGGACTACAGGCATGTACCACCATGTCCAGCTAATTTTTTTTTTTTTGAGACGGAGTTTCAGTCTTATTGCCCAGGATAGAGTGCAATGGCGTGATCTCAGCTCACCCCAACGTCTGTCTCCCGGGTTCAAGCGATCCTCTTGCCTCAGCTGCCCAAGTAGCTGGGATTATGGACATGGGCCACCATGCCTGGTTAATTTTGTATTTTTTTAGTAGAGACAGGGTTTCTCCATGTTGGTCAGGCTGGTCTCCAACTCCTGACCTCAAGTGATCCTCCCGCCTCGGCCTTCCAAAGTGCTGGGATTACAGGGGTATACCACTGTGCCCGGCCTAATTTTTTTAAAAGTTTTTGTAGAGACTGGGTCTGGCTATGTTTCCCAGGCTGATCTTGAACTCCTGGGCTCAAGTGATCCTCCAACGCTGGCCTCCCAGAGTGCTGGGGTTGCAGGTGTGAGCCACTGAGCTTAGCTTGAAGCATAAAAAAGTTTCTTCGTTCTTTTGCATATTTGTCCTGAAGCCCCTGTGCTAATACTCTCACTCTTCTCCCTTCTCCTATTTAGAGATAGAAAATCTGTAGCCCTGAGTCCTTGAAAAAGGCAAACGATATGGAATTGTTAACAGATACTTTTACGTTACACTTTTTTTTTTTTTTTTTTTGATACAGAATTTCACTCTTGTTGCCAGGCTGGAGTGCAATGGCGCAATCTCGGCTCACTGCAACTTCCACCTGCTGGGTTCAAGCGATTCTCCTGACTCAGCCTCCTGAGTAGCTGGCATTACAGGCGCCTGCCACCATGCACAGCTAACTTTTTGTATTTTTAGTAGAGACAGGATTTTACCATGTTGGCCAGGCTGGTCTCAAACTGCTGACCTCAGGTGATCCACCTGCCTCAGCCTCCCAAAGTGCTGGGAATACAGTGTGAGCCACCGTGCCCGGCCTAAGTTACACTTTTGTTTTGTTTGTTTGTTTGAGACAGTGTCTGTTGCCTAGGCTGGAATGTAGTGGCGCCATCTCGGTTCACTGCAACCTCTGCCACCTGGGTTCAAGTGATTCTCCCACCTCAGCCTCCTGAGTAGCTGGGACTACAGGCACGTGCCACCACGCCTGGCTTATTTTTGTATTTTTAGTAGAGACAGGATTTCACCATGTTGATCAGGCTGGTCTCGAACTCCTGACCTCAGGTGATGCACCTGCCTCAGCCTCCCAAAGCACTGGGATTACAGGCGTGAGCCACAGCGCCCCACACACTTTTGTTTTTGTCCTTGAGAAACAGAGTTTTCTTCTGTGGCCCAGGTTGGAGTACAGTGGTTCAATCATAGCTCACTACAGCCTTGACCTCCTGGGCTCAAGCGATATCCCCCACCATCTCAGCCTCCCAAAGCTCTGGATGACAGGTGTCAGCCACTGTGCCTGACCACACTGTGTTTTTGCAAACCAGGTACCAGGATGCTCAATTTGTTTCCCTGGGACTTAAACCTGTTTGGAAATGGACCTGGCACAACGACTGGTCAATTTCCCATCTATTGCTGTGACTATTGCATACCTTGCCCCAGGCCCTTTTCCTGCCTCCAGGGGGACTTTCTGCAGTTTTCCCTCAGACCCAGCACTGTGTTGCTCTTTTCTAGCTGGTCCAAGCAGGTCTTTTCTTAGCACAGGCCAATTATCTGCCCAGCATTTACTTTCCCAGTCTGTTTACCATGACAACCTCTCCTAGAGACACAAAATCTGAGTGGGCCCCATGCAGACAGGGGCACTTCCTGTCCTGGGCACTGCCCAAGGAGATAATAAAGCAATTATTTCTCGCTTGAAGCAGTACATCTTGAAGGACGAGTGAGAGAGAAAAGGTCATTTATTCATGCCTACTATGTTCTAGGCCCAGTTAAGGGTAATTTGCAGATGGAAATGTCATTTAATATTCCCAGTAGAAGTTGCTTTTTTTTTTGAGACAGTTCTTGCTCTGTTCTCCAGGCTTGAGTGCACTGGTGCAATCTCCACTTGTTGCAACCTCTGCCTCCGGGGCTCAAGAGATCCTCCTACCTCAGCCTCCCGAGTAGCTGGGACCACAGGCGTGCACCATCAAGCCCGGCGAATTTTTGTATTTTTTGTAGAGACTTGGTTTCGCCATGTTCAAGATCAACCTGGGGTCTTGAACTCCTGGACTCAAGAAATCCACATGCTTTTGCCTCCCAAATTGCTGTGATTAGAGGTGTGAGCAACCCCACGCCTGTTGTTTTGAGTGATGTGAAACAGCAGGTTGTCTCATACCTCAGGGCCTCTGCTTAGGAGTGTGACCATTTCGTCCTGTATGAAATCCTCTGTCCAGAGTTGAAATGGGGTGGAGTAAAATTCAGCTCCTGCTCTCCTTCCCAAGCCTTGGGCCCTGGGGGGCAGGGTAGGGGGTGGGTTTCTGCCTGGAATAAGGGATGCCTTTTCCTAATTTGCACAAAAATGTGCAGCAGGTTAGAGGTGGGGCTTGGGTTTGGCCCGAGCTGCACTCTCACCATCCCTCCACACTGCTCCCCAGCTCAGAGTGCTCCTGAGGGGAGGGCCTTGCCTGCTCTTCCTCCCTTGCCCTTCTATAGGGACCTAGGTAGGGCAGTGACATACATCTGTGGTCCCAGCACTTTGGGAGGCTGAGGCAGGAGGACTGCTTGAGGCCAGGAGTTCGACGTTACAGTGAGCTATGATTGCACCACTGCACTCAAGAAGCCTGGGCAACAGAACGAGATCCTATCTCTAAAATATAAATAAATACATACAAGAACCCAGCTAAAGTGCCTGGCCAGGACAGGCTCTGGGTCAAGCTTACTCTCTTCTGTTCGTGCAGTTTTTGTACTGAGAAATGCTTCATTCGTTCAGTTGAAATGTCAACTCCTCACTGGGCACAGTTGCGCATGCCTGTAATACCAGCATTGGGAGGGTGGGGCAGGAGGATTGCTTGAGCCCAGGAGTTTGAGACCAGCCTGGGCAATGTGATGAGACCCTGTCTCTACAAAAAACAAAAATTACTGGGGCATGGTGGTGTGAGCTGCTGGGGAGGCTGAGGTGAGATGATCTTCTGAACCCAAGAGATTGAGGCTGCGGT